ATCCATGGAATTCAGATTGTGCCTAAGATTTCTTTTACTTCTTGCTTTCCTCACTGAGCTCTGTTGTCTTAATCAATCATTGACACCACACACATGATCAATCTTTGATGACAGTCATTGTCACCACACGATCTCTTCTCATTGAAAAAACCAATGAGACCTCTCCCAGGTGATTGGTGTTTTCAGCAAGAAGAGATCCTGTGGTGTCAGTGGCATTAAAGCGATCTTGGGACACCAAAGCACCTAGCTCATCTGCTTCCTCTGTAGGATGAATACTCCAGGCAGGAGTTTGGGTGAGAGGAGTCTTGTGTGAGGCTGAGAGAAACTGTGTACTAAAGAAATTAATTTGAGGAGGAAGAGATCTCAGAGCATAAGGGAAGACTTGACTCTAATGGGCTGAAATTTTACATAGGGACAATAAAAAGAAAAAAAGAACCCAGAGCTTATTGCAATGGCATCTCTGGAAAAGCAGAAGCAGGGGGAGCAGGGGGAGCAGGGGGAGCAGGGGGGAGCAAGAGTCAGGTGCAGATTTAATGTCAGTGAGTGTTCGAGGGCTTGTCACAATGGCATGGCAGTCCACCTCCCTTCCAACACCTCTGGGTGACAGGTGTGCAAAATGTGATTAGGGGAAGCTGTGTTTGAGGGTGTTGTGAGCCCATGTGAGTGACTGAAGGAGAGGAGATCTTAATATGGTTCTCAAGAAAGTGGTCACGGGGAACAATTGAGAGTCAGGAAGTTCCACTCTGCATGAGGAGCAGAGCCATAATGTTGCCCAGGAAATTAGTGAGAAGGCAACAGGTTGTGGTCACTACCCAATATGAAGGAGAGTTCACAGATTGATGAATTCCTTAGAGGAAACCTGAGTGGTCCCATGGAGGTCAGGTTTAGAACCCTTGAAGTAGTGCCTGGGTCAGTATGGGATATCGTGTGTTAGCTATTCGCAGGGAGGCAAGGTTATATTTGCTCACATTGTTAAGTCACTTCTGTGCTTTACTAACTTCCTTGGCAAAGTGTAATTTAAAAAACTAATGGCAGTTCTCTTCCCCAGACTCCAAGGGAAAACATTGTCATCCTCCACCTTCAGCCAGCCATTAATGGGGAACAAATGCATTTTGACATAAGGGGACAAAATTGCATTCCTTGGATTTCATTTAATCTTGGTACACTTTCTTTCTTTCTCCTTCAAGCTGTCTGCTTTCATGTTATTAGTTGGCTTTGTAAAATACCAGGTGGGAGAAGATCCAGGCATATGAAATGTCACGACATCAGCCAAGCTTGACTGTTTCCCCCGGAACCTTGTGAGAAATGAAATGTCTAGGGAGGGTTCTGGATACATTCTAAACTTCTTCCAATATTGGACAGCAGCAGATGCTAGTATTAGGTGAGCCTTATCCAGGAGAGAATTTTTCAGAATAATTACTAAAATGATATCAGTTAATATTCATTGAGCACTTACAACATGGCAGCACTTTTTCAAAGCAGATTGCATGTACTGACTCATTTAATTCTCACTGTGACCCTGTGAGGTGCATGCTGTTATCTGCATCTTACTTACGAGGAAGTGAAAGAATGGAGTTTTCTGATTGACCAGTGATTACAAGAACTTCACTTCAAATCCAGCCAATCTGATTTGGAGTCAAGTTCTTTATCGATTTGTGGTATTGCCTCATTTATCTATGGTTTACAGCAGGTGAAGAAAAATCCAAAGGGGTTTCCATCACAGACTTTACGGTCCAAAGCCCTAAAATTTAGTGTTGTCAGGGCTCAACTGTGGCAAAGTTTGATAGGAAGCAAAACATTAGTTGACTTACAATACGGGGTTTAAGAAAGTTGCTAGTGGTGGGAAAACTGGATGTGTAAGTTGTTGAGAGAAGATGGGAGATTGGGTGGGTGAGGATATTATGTGGTGGCTAGTCTGTCTGGCTTAGCTGGTCATTCTGGAGATGAAGTGAAATAGTGCATGGATTAATTTTGGATCTATAAAGTTCTATTCAAATGATAGCTCCTATTGTCTGTCCATGGTGTGACCCCTGGAAGTCAGGAACTTTGGTGGGAACCCAGTGATTCAGGAAGAAGCACTGTTTAGGTTGGCATCAAAGGGCATCAATGAGAACCTGGGAGATGGACAAGGAGCAGACACTGATGGATTTTGAAAAAAGTGGTACAATTGGTGAGCTCAACAGGGGAGCTCATGATGTGGGGAGCAGGGACTGGCTCCTTCTCTGAATTCTTTTTCCTACTTGGCATCTGGGCTATAATAAGGTCCTAGTTTTGGTGCCTCCTTCCCACTGAAGAAGACTAGAGCTCTCTGCCATTAGGTCCACTGTTATCTCAAAAGAAGGTTAAGGAGAGCTCATTCAACTCCTGCACCCCCAGACCCCATTACAGGGTATGAAGGACCATCATGTTTCATGGTTCTACCTTTCTTCTTAACTGTTATGTTCATAGCAAAGTATTTGCTAATTGCAACCTTTATAGATCACTTAGGTGAACCTGTAAATTAAAGAAAGATTAGACCCCCTTAATTTGGGGATAAGTGTTTGGTATGACCATCATGTGGTCATCTATTAAATGCTTAAATTCTTTCCTAACTTTGTACAGCTAATTCTCTTTGCTGTAATCCTTATTTTTACTCTTATCCAGAGTTATCATTTATTTACAAATTGACATACTTTTCAAATGACATGTTATTTCTCTAAATATGATGATCCTCAATGCAAAATAATCCCCAAGTCCCACCACATAGAGATAACCACTTGGAACATCTTGTTGAAGATTGCTCCAAACACTTCTCTTACATATTACAGACTCCTAAATTCTATAATTTGCATGCAGGAGCTTATGCTGTGTATAATTTCCCAGGACTCTTTTTTCACTTTGCAATATGTTATGGGCAGACTTTCTTCTAAACTCATTTCCCTTCCACACATCTATAATATCTGCCTTATGCTCTCTTATTATAATTACTGTGGGTACTTAGCCATCCCCTTGTCTATTGTTTATTGATGAAAAAGAGTCTTAGAACCAACAGAGATCTTCAGACTCTGCTAGCTCAGATGTTAAGGCTTTGCTGTCACATCCATAGGATTTTTGGTATCTAACCATTGACTTGGAGCTCCTCAGAGGAGCACTGGGTAGTAGAGAGAGCATGAAGCTGACATGTGGGGAGAAGAAGTCCCTGTTCCAAGCTCTGTCACTTAGCAACTATGTGACCTTAAAATCACTTTACCTTTCTGAACCTCAGTTTGCTGATCTGAAAAATGATATGGGGATGCTTGATGCTTGAGGTCAATGCTACCAAATACTATTCTGTCAAACTAGATCTCTCATCACCTCTTAAATGCTCATGTGAGCTTTATTCCTTAGACCTCTTCAGTGTCCATTGCAAGGTCGATACAAAGTTGTGAATGATGGACTGATGCAGCCACTGAATCCATCATCTCAGCCTTCCCCCAGGACTGCCCAACACTGAGGTTTCATATTGATTTTAACCCAGCGAATCTCAGGCCTTTTAACCTGCCTGCTGTCTCACTTTAGAAGGTGCAGTTAAAATCTACATTTTAAATCATTTAAAATCTACATTTTAAAACGTCTTAAGTGTGTGAGTGTGAAAGATAGGGAGAGAGCTATATATGGATATGTGAATATACATACATATATTCTACCTCTATATCTATGTATATCTAGATATGTATATTATTTTTATATTAGTACAATTGAAATCTAGGAAGGAATTACTATTATTTGCCCTGAAATGAGATTTTTAGATAACAGAATGAGATTTATTTTTTTTTCACTCCCTCTTCCAGAGTTGCAGTGAGATTAAATGGGTATGGGTTCATGGGTCTCTGTGTCTTTGAGGTGGGTCGAGAGCAGTGTCCTGAGGTCTAAAGCGGCTTCTTCCTTCCAGCCATTGTTTTCATTCCTTCCCTCCCTCCTTCCCATCCTTCAATTCTTCCATTTTCCTTCCTTCCTTCCCTTTCTTCTCTTATTTGCCTTCCTTTTCTTCCCCTATAGAAGTGAATTGAAGAGTAATGCTATTCTCTCTAGTTTGGTCAGTGGTGACTTTTATCACTGTTTCATATAAAAATGAGCAGCGATCCTCTTTGCTCAACTGCTGAAATATAAATATGAGGTGGTCTCTGCGGACAAGCCAGGACTGTGTTATATTCATGTGTTAAAGAAACCTGTAGATCCACAGGGGAGGTAACAGAAACTAAGCTATTTCACTCAACTTGTGCCTGATATGAAACTTCTTTGAAAATGTCATTTAAGAAAACATCCAAGAAATCTAGTTACCAACTTTCTGAGGGTGAACAGGAAGCTGCAGGAAGTTTGGTGCTGTCCCCTTTGTTGAATATGTGTCCTGAACCAGCTTGGGTTAAATGCCTTCCAGATGAATTACATACTTCATTCTCTGCCTAATGAAACAATGAAAGTACACTATACCTATCGACTTTTTATTTGGGGAAGCTCAGAGGTACCTTCATAGGCAGTGCTCACGTAACATGCTCTAAGTGACAGGTGTTTTCAGAGATGACTCCATCGAGGAGAGCTATTTCAATTGTAGTTCTGTGCTTTCTGGATTCTCATTCTGTCCTTTTTATTGGTTTTTCTCTCTCTTCCGAGGGTCAGGCCACCACTGACCAGGTCCGACTACTGTGGACCTTTCATTTTTCATAGTAACACCCTGCTTCTATTTCCAATTAGCCACGTCTAATTTGTTATGTAACAAAACACATTTTTCCTTAACATTTTAATAAATTAATATCAAATATTATATAAAGTGGTCTCCAAAGGGCTTTTTTTTCTGCTGTTTTTTATGTTATTAGCTAAATTGCAGGAATGTTAGGTTCTGGTAAACAACTTGCAATTCTCGGTTGAATGTGAACTTTTTCTTCTAAGCCAGAAGAGACGACCTTGTCCCTAGTCCCTCCAGGTGCATGACTCCCAGTTCTTCTCTCTCATTTGTATCTGACCACTCGGTTCTTGTTTTGCAGTCCCCAGTCTGTCCCAGATCGCCTGAGGATCCGGGTGAACAAAATCAGTTTACAAGACTATGAAGGATTCCACTACGACAAAGAGAAACTTCGGGAAGCTTGTAAGTTGCTGGTGCTTGTAGGTTTCCTAAGATCAGCTTGTCTTCAGCTTCTTGACCCTCTTTGGTTTGATGGGCAGAGTCACTAGACCATGGCTAGGGAAGCACAGTAACATGCAAACTCCAAATGATGATCTGTGGGCCGGAGAGAACAGAACTGGGAAGGGAAAGCATTAGAGTCCAATCACTCAGCTCCCGGAGCAAGGTCAGGAGCTCCCAGCTCGTTCACCACTGTCAGTCCCAGCATTGCCCGCAGTGAGGGAAGCAGAAAGCAGGTAAGACCATGGCAGAGGAACACCTACAAACCCTCGAGGCAACACGGTTCTCTCTCTGGGGCCTGCATTATCAAATACTTCCCTCATTCTTACACAAGGGTGGCAAAGTTAGCCATGAAGGCACATCCATCATTTTTAGTTACCATCCTCTGGTGTGATGTCAAAGAACATCTCACAGGATGCAGAATGCTTTGTCGATAGAGTAACTCACGGAGGATAAGGTGCCATGGTTTCTGAAGTCTCAAATTGAGTCAACATATGAATTCTCCATGTATATATGTTCTGTATACTTCATTGAACACATAGCTCATTGTCAATTTCCCTCATCAATCAGTATTTATAGGACACTTTTTACATTCTGGTCACTATCTTAAAATTCTGAAATTCTGAACTCCTTCTTAATTGTGGAGGCCAATAGTCAAGCTTAGTAAGATCAAGGATGGTAATGAAGACCAGTGTCTAGGTGAACAGACAAGGATGCCACCAAAAAGAAAGGAGTTTTATGGGGCCAGGATTGTGGCTCAGTGGTAGAGCACTTGCCTAGCATGCATGAGGCACTGGGTTCCCCGGCACCACATAAAAATGAAAACAAATAAAATAAAGGTATTGTGTCCATCAACAACTAAAAAAAAAATTAAAAAGGAATTTTATAGAGAATTAAAGATTATTAACCAAATCCCAATTGGTGTCCCAATGTGGACTGACCAGAAGTGTAGAAGAGGAACTAGTTAAAATGGGAAGGAGTGGAGTAGGAGAAGCATTCCTGGGTTAGTGACTTCCATGTTCTGATTTCTGGCTCTGATCTGGAGAGAGTGGTAGTGGATGGAAATCCTGAGATCCAAGGACAGTCTCAGGTGGATGCAAGCTCTTCTACAATCCAGGGTTGGCAGTGAGCAAGGACCCTTTTCCCTGGTGGCCTCGTTATAGAATCTGCTAGAGAGTTTTCTGTAAAATCTCTACTTTCTCAATTCTCTCTACTGCTTCAGCTTCCTCAACCCTTTTGGATGTTTTCCTGAAACATCTGGACCTTTATTTTCTTCTCAGCTCTCACTTCTACCATTTCTCCCACTGCTTTGGTAGGAAAGTGCGAGCTGAAGTGGGGGTAATTTTCTGCAACTCTGCATTTCTTCCTTTTGTTAACATCATCTTACATTTTCTAATGTAAAGAGATTATAAATAACAGACCTGCACCGGAAACCAATGGAATCCATTGAGTGATAGACATATATATATATTTGCAATGGGAGGTATAGCTACAATGTAAATTAAATTGATTTTTAGAAGCTTCTAGTTATAAAGAACTCTGTTTTATACTCTTTCTTATTCCAAACTTCTAAATGAATAGTTTGCAGTTTTTGAAAATAATAAAAAAATAATGGATCTCTAGTAATATTTTGTAACTTACAGTCAGTTCTCAGTTGGGAGTGGGGATACACTTGAATATTTGGGGCCAAAATGAAATTTGAAGCTTATCTATGGTTTCAGGGATCTGTACTATCTTTCCTGTGGCGTTATCTGTCCACTGTTGCCAGAGGCAATTGTGATTTGAGTTTTTTCCAGGAAGATGACATTTCCTGGCAAGAGCCTTACTCATCATATGTTATCAAACTTCTATGTGAGAAAACTTCTTAAATTGGGAGAAGGAACTTGGCATTAATATAGGTCAATGAAATCAGCAGAGTCTTTGGAACCCAAAAGGGCAAGTAAACTCCCAAAGTGGGCACTAAAGGAATTATTCTAAAGACCTGAGTTTTAAGAAACAGAAGGAGTGAGTCCTCTTCATTCTTTCATTTATTCAGGCACACACAGAGGTGATTACCATCACCATGTACTAGATTCTTGCTAGGGTGTCTGAAGGGCTGTTCATATCATTCATATTACAAGTTGGGATGTTTGCTGGGATGTTCATGGTCTAACTAAGCCTTCCTTTTGTCTGCAGTACAGAGTGATAAAACAAAATAGCAGCCGCTTTAGTTGCTCTGCTTATTTTAGCATAGAGAAAGATGACTAGACCATTTCAAATACTTCCCATTTCCCTACCATTTAGCTCCAGCTCACCTGGGGACATTCCCCCTAAACTAGCAGCATGGACAGGTTGTGTCCTTCACAGTTCCTCCCTCAGCTCTTGTTGATAAAATTTAGACTTACTTAAAACACCTGGAGTCTCCCTCACTGGTTATAAAGCTTCAGGTTGATGGTTATGATTTGTAAGAGGGGAAAGTCTATTCAACTGAAGAGGTAGAATGTATAGAGAAAGTGGCCATGTTAAATTGATTAAATTGATTTTTAGAAGCTTCTAGTTATAAATAACACTGTTTTATGCTCTTTCTTATTCCAAACTTCTAAATGAATAGTTTGCAATTTTTGAAAATGATAAAAAATAATGGATCTCTAGTAATATTTTGCAACTTACATTTAGTGATAGACATATATATATATTTGCAATGGGAGGTATTAAAATCTTAAGCAAATCTATAATAATGACAGCAGAAAATCACTACTGTCATCTGAATGAAGTACATAAATGTATCATTAATAAAGCATGTAACCATACAGTCTAGGCAAAAAATAATCAGTTTTTGAAAATCCATTTTATTTCTGTCTTCAAAAGAGATTAATTGGCATGACATATATTTTTATATCTAGAATAACTTGACACTGGCCAAAATTTAACACTATCCTGTGAAACTGATTAAACTTTACTTTTGGCATTTACTGTACATTTTTGAATTGCTATGGTAGTTCACAAGAGTTTAGAGCCTAAAACACAAATAGGTAAGATCAATTTGGGGCCAACAGAAAACAGATATAGTGTATAAAGATAAGAGGGGCTAACATTTGATAATTATGTATCAAATATAATTTTTCAGCAATGCTTTTCTCAATATAATGGATATTATCTGGATGCACACAGTATATAATGTATACTTTCTCAGTTTATTGGTTGAAACTAATGATATTAGGATTGTGCTCTAATTAGGTACAGCAATTTAGGCATTTTCACTGATGGAATTTCCTTGATAAGTGATTTAGTAGAAAAGTCATAAATGTTTGTATTTGGATCTCAGTTGCAACCGTGGCAAAATACTTTAATTTCTCTGATGATCAAATCTCTCATCTTTAAAATGAGAATATAATTGCAATCCCATAGAGTGCTGAGGCTGAAATATAATCTTGTATATGAAACTCCTGGTGCTTAGTCTGGCACATTACCATGTTTTCCAAAAGTGGCAGCTATGATTTTTATGGTTGCAGTTGTTAAAGAACTCTACTGTCACACCCCCTATCAGTCTTCAGGTCCATAATGAGAGGGTCAGTGTAGGGACTTGTTATGATTTATATATGCCATCCCAAAAGATCATGTGTTATTTATTATGCATAACTGTTCAAAGGTGAAATCATTAAATTGTGAGAACTATAAACTAAACAATGGGATTATTCCATTTGTTGTATTGATAATTTTAATGGACTTTGGGTGGTAACTGTAGATAGGTGGGGCATAGCTGGAGGAAGTAGGTAATTGTAGGTGTGTCCTTGGTTATTGTGTTTTCTTCCTGACTCCTTGTGCTTGCTCTCTCTCTCTCTCTCTCTCTCTCTCTCTCTCTCTCTCTCTCTCTGTGTGTGTGTGTGTGTGTATTTTCTGGGTGCTGTGAGCTGATAGATTTCCTCTACCTTTCCTCCTGTGATATTACCCTTCCACTGTGATATTCTGTCTTACTTTGGGCCCAAAGCAATGGAGTTAGCTGACCATGGAATAAATCTCCAAAACTATGAGCCGAAAGTACACTTTCCCTCCTCTAAGTTGTTCTTGTCAGGTATTTTGATCAGTGACAAAAAGCTGACTAACACAAGGCTGACCTCCTTCAAACTGGAGCAACACCCTCCAACTCCCTTTCTTGCTTTCAAAAACAGAATTGAAAACAGTAATAAATATAGTTTTCCTTGGTATCAGCAGCAGATTGATTCCAGGACTCCCTGTGGATACCGAAATCTATGAATATACAAGCCCCTTAAATATAAAGTATTATTTGCTTATAACCTATACACATCCTCCCATATACTTTTAATCATCTCTAAATTACTTATGATACCTAAAATAACATAAAAGCTATGTACATAATCATTATACTGCATTGTTCAGAGAATAATCACAAGAAAAATATCTTACCTTTCATTTTTTTTGGGGGGGGGGAGTTAAATGGTCAGTTATAATCCAACTACTGTGGATTGAAAATAACTGAAATATTGAATTCACAGATTGGAAACCCTTTTATATGTATAACCAATTGTAACTTAGAAAGTTGGAGGAAGAAAATGTATATAATCATTCAATGTGATTTTATTGTTAGTATAAACATCTGCTATGATGACAAGACACTTAAAAGCATGGTGTATGGAAACTCTAAGTCCATGTTTGATATGCCCAGACATCTGCAAATTCTCATTCCTTAAGTCTATTCCTGGATTCATTCCTGGATACACATTACATTGAGTTGGCATTTCTTCCCTGTCTCCTCTGGTCTATGACAGTTTCTCAGTCTTTTCTCCTTTTTTTTTTTTTTGATTCCCCACCAATCACCTTGATGGTCTTAAGGAGTATTAAACAGGTATCTGGTAGAATATCCTCAAATATGGCTATGTCTGTTGTCTTACTCTTACTCATAATTAGAATGGGGTTATGGTTTCTTGGAAAGAAAACTGCAGAGGCAGAGTACCCTTCTTGACCCA